CTGCTTCTCCCTCTCCCACTCCCCCTGCTTGTGTTCCTGCTCTTGCTATCTCTCTCTGTCAAATAAATAAATAAAATCTTAAAAAAAAAAAAAAAAAAAGAAGGGGAACCTTGACCCCGCCACTGACCTTGCAGTGACGGCAGGCCACAACTCTTCCTAACCTCAGTTTCTCCAACCGTAAAATCAGATAATTCCTCCCAGGAAGCATGACTAAGAGAGCCAGTTTAGGTCTGAAAGAACCAAGGACCACCCCTGGCACATGGAATGGCCTCCACCAATTGTTTCCCCTGAGACCCTCCCACTTGTGCTGCCCCCACAGGGCTGCCCCGTACCTGACACTGAGGGGCGACTCCACCGAGAGCCCCAGCAGGGAACAAGCATCCCGGGTAAAGGTCTCGCAGATCTCTGCCCAGTGGCTGTTGTCCAGGAGGTGGCAGTAAGGGGACTTCTCCAAGCCCAGCCGCAGGTACACCAGGCTGCCCATCATCACCTGGATCTCTGCAAGGCAGGCACAGGTCAGGGCGAGCAGGGGATCAGAGGGCGCAGGCTGGGCCTCGCAGATCCCAGGCCCCTGACCAGGAGGAATGGGCCCTGAGATGCCCTCAGGCAAAACTGATTTTCACTAAAATCCAGTGTGGAGACAGAGTCTCGGGGCTGCTTCTGCGGGAGAAGGACAAGCATCAGGCACAAGGCAATCCAGTAGGGAGCTGAGTTTGAGTTCTCTTCCCATCCTTCCAAGTGCACCAAGGAGCGAGTCTCAGGTTAGCGCTCACGTTTTTCTTCTCCAAGACTAGCTACTCTCCCTTTTAAAAACTTTCAGGTGGTATCTAGATTTACTGACGGTGCTTGGTCTTTATGATTTCACAAAATGTGAGGTAACACATGGGTAGGAGTGGAGCTAGAGAACCAGTTACTACCAGTAGGAGTGGTTACTAATGGTGAGTATCTGGAAGGGGAGACTCCACGGACTGAGGTCTGGAAATCCTGGTGTGACGGAAGGAAGCTGTGGAGAGGCGCCGAGTGAGTCTTAAGGAAACGAGTGGGCTGCTTCTAGGTGGGCGAGGCCCAGGCTGAGGCGCAGGGGCGCACATGGCCCTGTGTGCTGAGTGTGGGTGTGCCCCACAGCAGGTGTGCAGAGCGGCCTGAGAAGAAGCTGGAAGGATATGGCACAGGCGGATGCAGGGGAAGAGCGTGGGGTTTGGAGTTCACTTGGGAGACGGTGAGGGAGGGGTCAGAGTTCTCAGGTTGGGGAAAGGCATCCTGGTTACACACAGCCCCTCAGGTGGGGCAGGGACTCGGAGCCCAACCCCCTGAGCCCTGCTGACACCTGCCGGAGCCCGGCAGCCCCCACCCCAGCACCTGAGCACTTACCTCGCTGGTGCAGCCGTGCAAACGGCTGAAAGTGCCGGGCATAGCTGAGGGCCTCCAGCTGCTTCTCAGGGCCGCCTGCCAGGAGGCGGATGAAGTGTAGGCGGTGCAGCTTGAACTCCAGGGAGCTGTTGAGCTCGAGCAGGCGCTGCCTGTGGGAGACAGCCCATCTGGGGAGAAAGGGAGCTGGTGGGGCAGGAGAAGGGGCCCCGGTGGAGCCGGGACTGAGAGGTGGGCTCCCAAAGCCAAAGTGAGGCCCATGAGACAGGGCTGGAGGCGTGTCGAGTACACCAGGTGACAGAAGACCACAGACGGGCCCCGTCCCCTCACTGGCCCATCCAAGGGCCAACTTACTCCAATGCCGGCCCTAGGTCTTGTTCGTGCAGAGCTTCCAGGATTCGATTCAACTCGAGGAAAGGCTGCTTAAAGTCCAAGTCCACGTTCAGTGTTGACTCCTGTGGGGAGAGCACAATCCCACCGCTGAAGGAGTCTGTTTCCAGAACATTCCAGTTCTGGAAGGCTGAGTGTTGCAGGCTGGCCTCCCGGAGTGCAGACTACAAAACCTAACCCATCCCCAGGGTCTTAGAGACCTGTGTTGAGTAGCATGGTGAGAAAATGATTCCTCTTCAGTCCTCTTAATCACATTGAGAAAGTACCCTTACTTTTATTACTAGTGGGTTTTTAACACCTAACAAGTGCTACTTTGTCATGTTACTAATCTCCCTTTTTAAGAAAGCGATATCAGGCGTCAGCTCAGAACCTTGGCCGGCAACCAACTCTAGCTAGAGATTCATGGCTTCACTTGCCATCGTATGTATTTTTAGAGCTATCTTCTATTTATGGCAGGGGCAATGATTTCCCTTCTAAAATAAGTTTATATAAAGAAGAGGAAACCAAATATAAAGACAGCCATCGAGTAGAAGCAGAAGAGACAGGTTCCAGCGCCTTCCCGGCAAGGCCATTACCTGGCACAGCTCCTCGGCAACGCTCAGCATACCCTGCTGGTACAGGTGCTCCACAATGGCCATCTGCAGGACCTGCTGCTGCTTCTCCCGAGAGTCCCACACCGCATCGGAGACGACGCCGCAAATCTCAGAGTCAAAGTTCTGACGAGGACAAGAGACAGGGCCCTGTGACTCAGCATTCGCCTTTCCTGCTGAGCCCCGCCCCCCAGGCACTAGCTCCGGGGTGTCCCCACCCCCAGCCCAAGGCTGCCTGCACGCTCACCCTGTCGATGGCTTTGCCCACTCGGGAGACGCTGCTGTGAATGTCCTTATGGTCCGAAGCCAGTTTCTGCACGGTGTCTTTGATCTTCCGGCAGCACTGGGACATCACCAGGGAGAGGGTGGCTGACAGAGGGGTCCCCTGGAGGGCTGCAGGGAAACACTGGCAGTGAATCAGGACACAGAGGAGCACACCTGGCCCCTGCTACCTCTCTTCTCCACACCAGCCCGGAGGCCCAGGAGGGAGCCCTGAACTCCAGGGTGAAAGACCCCGGCTTCTGTTCCAGGTCCTGCCACTTTTTAACTGCATGCCTTGGAACTGCTCAAGCAGGGCGAGTGGCTTCATCTCTCGGTTCATTTCCTCACCTGTAAAATGGGTGATAGTACCGGCCCTGTCCTTTGCTGTGAATTGTAGCTGATTCGGCACTTCCTACGGGAAAGTACTTTATTTCAGCTCATTTAATCCTCCCCACTGTGCCCTGCAGTGGACACTGTTAGTACCCTGTCCTGTAGCTGGGGGAGCTGAGGCGGTAGCTTGCTGAGTGACAGCAGTGACAGAGCTAAAGCACATGCTCTTCACCACCACACCGGATGGCTCTTTACTGTCTTGAGTGAGACACCACGTGTGAGGAGGCTTTGGGCCATAAGGCGCTGTCCCCAGGTTAATGCCTCTTACCAACCCAGAGGATACTGCCAGGGAAGTTCAGGGATGTTTCTGGCTCAGGACTCCAAGCCTGTGCGGTTCCCACCCCCATGGCTGGGCCAGAACCAGACACACCGCCAAGAGCACATGGGACTTGGAAGAGAGGAGGACAGACAGAACATCTGCCCCTTTCTCCAGCCCAGCATCTAGGTGCCTTCTTTAGATGGCAACGCCTTGGTTCAGGGAAAGAAACATGACCCAGGAGAGCCAGGGAGCGTCTCGGCTCCAAGACCGGAAGCCCTGGAAGAGAGATGCATTCTACCAAGTCACTGGGTACTACCAAGGCATTCTACCAAGGCACTGCTCTGAGAATGAAGACAGTGTAGACTGAGGGGACCCCATGAGCACCTGGATCCAGCCGGGCCTGGACATTTCAGTTACCTGAGTCCATGAATCCAGTGTTCCCCACCCCCGCCTGTTCATTTAACCTGGTCTGAGCTGGGTTGCTGGCACCTGTAACTGAATGCCTCCGACAAATAACGACCGGAGGCCCCCCACCTACACAGGGAGACAGGGCAGGACCACATTCCACTCTGACACTGCCACCCACCCAAACCCCAGCTTGCCACTCATCTCTCACATTCTGCTCCATCCAGGTCACAGAGGACCACACTCTGTACAGTCCCTGGCCACATTCCCTTTAGGACAAAGCAACAGCTCTCAGGAAACCAAAGCTCCCCATCCTTTCTTTAAAGTACGCTCCAGGCCCAACATGGGGCTTGAACTCACAACCCCAAGATTGAAAGTCACATGCTCCATTGGCTGAGCCAGCCAGGCATCCCAAAACCAAAGCCTTTTAACCTGAAACCCCCAAATCTTCTCTGCCCAAGGACGCCCCTGAAACCATTAGCGCTGACAAACCCCCATCTGAGAAAATGTGGTCTCCCTGTAAACACCCTGCAGCAGGCCACCACCACCTGTTAACCAACGGCACAGCATAAGAGCGTTTCAGACCCATTCTACCACACGGTTAACCTGCCATCAGAAGCAAGGACCCAGGCCTGGGCATTACTACAGCATGGCACAACCACAAGATGCAATGGTAAGCAACCAGGTGCAAGAATGAGGCAGAATTCTACGTAGTGAGACAGAACACTCTCGGAGACAAACTGGAGGGGGGAAAAGGTGCAGGAAAGCACACGCTTGAGGCTACCCTTTGTGTTTAAAAAAAGGGAGGGGATAGACACACATGCCACCTGTGTGTGCACACAGATGCTGTCTGGGAGGCGTGCCGGGGAAGTTGGGGGCAGGGGTGACTCGGGGGGTGGGCTGGCGCACAGGGACTGGCAAGCAGGGCTGAAGGGGAGACTCACTTTCCCTGTAAGCTCTTTTGACTTTGAAGTCTTTCCTATGTGCATGCTTTCTTTAAAAAAAAAAAACATTAAAAGGAAACAAACTCTACTCTGCAGATTTGTTTTTCACAGAGGTACGAAGTGTAGCAATTCCGAAAATACTCTCTATGTACTGTAGAAATCAAGCAGATGGGAGATGTATTGCCGGTTTTGGAGTCACCATACGCACTGTTGCAGAAAAGAGATATAGCTATGGATTGGGGAGGTCTAGGAAGAACCCTGTGATACAGGATTGAAACTGGGGTATCTGTAAACTCATGGCCTGCAACATGCAGAGACAGATCTGTCTGCTAAAAAAACAGAAACAACGACACCTCAGTAACAACCCAGACCTTGGTTTCCAAATACCATTTTCCACCCAAAGAACATCTCCTTGCAGAAATTACTTACTCCAGGGATTATCTTAATGTGCCAGAAAGCTAGGAAGTGCTAAATAATAATAGTAATAAATAAAAAGGCTGGAATAGGGTGCCTGGGTGGCTCAGTTGGTTAAGTGACTGCCTTCGGCTCAGGTCATGATCCTGGAGTCCCAGGATCGAGTCCCACATCGGGCTCCCTGCTCAGTGGGGAGTCTGCTTCTCCCTCTGACCCGACCCCCTCTTGTGTTCTCTCTCACTCTCTCTCAAATAAAATAACATCTTTATTGAAAAAAAAAAGGACGGGCCATGTGAAAAGGACACAAGAGGATAAAGAACAGAAAGAAGAGTGCAACACCGAATATCCACATGTAAAAGAACGAAGTTGGATCTTACACCATATCTAAAAATTAACTCAAAACGGATCAAAGACCCAAGTGTAAGAGCCAAAACTATAAACTCTTAGAAAACGCAGAGGTGTAATCTTTGTGGCCTTGGGCTAGGCAATGGTTTCTTAGATAAGACAACAAAGGCATAAGCAGCCCAAGAAAAAATAAACTGGACTTAATCAATATTAAAAACTTTTATGCTTCAAAGGATACTATCAAAAAAGTGAAAAGACTGGGTGCCTGGGTGGCTCAGTCAGTTAAGCGACTGCCTTCGGCTCAGGTCATGATCCCAGGGTCCTGGTATCAAGTCCCATATCAGGCTCCCTGCTCAGCGGGGAGCCTGCTTCTCCCTCTCCCTCTGTCTGCCACTCCCCCTGCTTGTGCTCTCTCTCTCTCTGACAAATAAATAAATAAAATATAAAAAAAAAAAGTGAAAAGACAACCCATACGATAGAATATCCAGTGTGGATCTAGTATTAAAGAGTACATAAAGAACTCGTACAACTCAACAATAAAAAGAGAAACAACCCAATTAAAAAATGGAAAGCAATTTAAGTAGACAGTTCTTCGATGAAGATAAACAAATGGTCAACAAGCTCACTCATGAAAAGATGCTCAGCATCATTAGTCACTAGGGAAATGCAGAGCAAAACCACAGTAAGATAGCCTTTCATACCCACTAGGATGGCCATAATCAAAAAGACAGATAAAAACAAGCCTTGGTGAGGATTGGAGAAATTGGAACCCTCATGCATTGCTGGTGGGAATGAGTAAATTATTGCAACTACATTTGGAAAACAGTTTGCCTGTTCCTCAAAAAGTTAACAGAGTTACCATATGACCCAGGACAGAAAAGAATCAAATACTGATTCATGCTACAACAGGTATGAACCTTGAAAACATGCTCAGTGAAAGAAGCCAGACACAAAAGGCTGCACATCGTAAGACTGCATTTATATGAAGTATCCAGAACAGGTAATCCACAGAGAAAGTAGGTAAGTGGTTGCAGGGTCTGAAAGAGGGGGTGAAACGGTGTGACTGTTAGTGGGGAGCATTTGTTTTTGGGGTGATGAAAATGTTCTGAAATTATACAGTAGTAATAATGGTACAACTCTGTAAATATACTAAAAATAAACTAAAAAACTGTACACTTTAAGAAGGTGAATTTTAATGTGAATTATAGCTCAATTAAAAAAAAAAAAGGACATAGGAATCAGGGGTGACCTCTGGTCAAATCTAAGACAATTCAAGCATCAAAATAAATAATAACAGTAACGGATTTTAACCCAACGAATAAAATAAGAATCTATGAGGCATGAGCTGGTAATAAATAAGGGAAAAAGGAAAGCTGAATGCCAACAACTACAGTTGACCCTTGAACAACATGGGGGTTAAGGGTACCACCCCGTGCACAGTCAAAAATCTGTGTATAACTTTTGACTCCCCCAAAACACAACTACTGATAGCCTATTGGTGACAGGAAGCCTTACCAGTAACACAGTCAAATGACACATATTTGGTATGTCACCTGTGTTATATACTGTATTCTTAAAATAAAGCTAAAAAAAAGAGAAAATGTCATTGAGAAAGTCATAAAAAAAAAGAAAATGCATTTACATTACTGTATTTACTAAAAAACAAATCTGCATGTAAGTGGACCCGCACAGTTCAAACCTGTGTTGTTCAAGGGCCAACTGTATGTAAGGAATGAGAGAGCAGGAAAAGTCACCCGTGTTGCTTTATAATAACTGAATCAGGCAAGAATCACCCCTGGGCCAGTGGGCTCAAATACAATAAAGTGCAGGCCATTTGTAGAGGCTCAAAGCATCTCCCCTAAAATTTCTTACTAATTAACTGTAAAGAAATATTAACTTTACACGGGGGGAACCTGGCTGACACCGTCTTAACCAAGTGATCACAGTTCACACTGCCAATCAGGGAACGAGCTGACACCCTGTACCTCCTGATGTGACTGACGCCCTGAGAACCAGATCACTTCCAAAGTATTGTGCTGCCCAAGATGCAACATCTGGGCGAGGAGGAGAAAACAGCAGGCAAGCCTAAACCAAGAGATATTCTGCAAAATCATTAGCCTTACTGCTTCGAAATCGTGAATGTCATGAAAGACAAGCAAGTGGGAGAAATGTCCCCGGTTAAAAAAACCAAAGATGAGGGGCGCCTGGGTGGCTCAGTCGTTAAGCGTCTGCCTTCTGCTCAGGTCATGATCCTGGGGTCCTGGGATCGAGCCCCGCATCGGGCTCCCTACTGGGCGGGAAACCTGCTTCTCCCTCTCCCACTCCCCCTGCTTGTGTTCCTTCTCTCACTGTCTCTGTCAAATAAATAAAATCTTAAAAAAAAAAAAAAACCCAGGGCACCTGGGTGGCTCAGTTGGTTAAGCGACTGCCTTCAGCTCAGGTCATGATCCTGGAGTCCCGGGATTGAGTCCCGCATCGGGCTCCCTGCTCCGTGGGGAGTCTGCTTCTCCCTCTGACCCTCCTCCCTCTCATGCTCTCTCTATCTCATTGTCTCTCTCAAATAAATAAATAAAATCTTTAAAAAAAAAAAAAACCCAAAGATGAGACATGAGAAACCACACGCAGTGCCTGATCTTGGATTGGATCCTAGAATGGAGACTAAAATTAAAATGTTTTCTGAAAATTATTGGACAGTGACAAAACTGAAGTATGAGCTATATTCATTAGGTCATAATACTGTATTAATGTTTAACTTCTTGATTTAATAATTATGCTGTATTTACATAAAAGAATGCCCTTGACCTTAGGAAATACACACTGAAAGTTTAGGGGCAAAGTGGTACGATAGCTGCAACTGACTTTCAAATGGTTAAAAAGTAAGAGTAGGCAAAAGAAGCGATAAAGCTAGCATGGCACTGTATCAGCAGTTGGTGTTTTCTGTAAATTTGAAACGATCTCAAAATGTCTTAAAAATTCAAAGGAGAAAAGCAAATGGAGGGTGCCTGGGTGGCTCAGTCGTTAAGCGTCTGCCTTCAGCTCAGGTCATGATCCCAGAGTCCTGGGATCGAGTCCCACATCGGGCTCCCTCCTCGAGGGGAAGCCTGCTTCTCCCTCTCCCACTCCCGCTGCTTGTGTTCCTGCTCTCGCTATCTGTCTCTGTCAAATAAATAAATAAAATCTTTAAAAAAAAAAAAAAGCAAATGGAAAACAGAATATAAAATAAAAATCTAGGAACACTACATCAAAAACTAATGATGTAATGTATGGCGATTAACATAACAATAAAATTTTTTAAATAAATAAAATGAAAATCTAAGTGAAAATAATCTCAGGTAAACTAATAATTTCTGTTGGGCTTTCTGAAATAGCTTGGAATGACTTCCATGACCCCACCCGAAGGAGGCCTAGGCATCCACGGACTGATGTCCAAACCATCATTCTTCTAGAAGCCTGTCACCAAGTGGCCTTGGGGAGCTCCCAGGCCCCTGGGGAGGCAGAGTTGGGGCTCTGGGGGTGGGGGGGACACACGCACCTGCGCTGGCCAGCTCAGCCCTCAGCTGGCCCACGTAGTGCAGCAGCTCCTCCAGGCTCTGCTCGCAGTGCTGCCCGTAGGTCAGGAACTTCTGCAGGACCCTGTCCACCTCCCTCTCCACACTCGCACACTGCTCCATGGTGGCCTCTGCCTGTGGGCGGGAGGGGTCGGCTGCGGCAGGCCCCACCTGGGCTGCGGGGCTCGCCGCGGAGGGTCCCCAGGTCCCCCTCACCACACCCATGTCCTTTATCCTCGCGCAGAAATTCCCGGCTTAACATACGTGTCCACAGCGCCTGTCACCCCGAGCCAGGGTGCCCCGGAGGGACTAGGCGGGCGTGAGGACAGGTGTTTTGAGTCATGGTGACCAAATTACCATTTCCAACTCTTTTCATTCTTTTGAATCAGGGGAGAGAGCAGGCCTCACAGAGTCCTCAGCAGGCAATGCTATCTACTAGAAATATATACAAATACCACCTATTTTCATATTGCATGTATGTTTATATACTCATCATAAGCGCCTTCTCTTCAATTAGTGGACTTGGTTTTCCACAGACTACAGTGATAGAAGCCATGAAGGCAGCCCTTGAATGGCTGATAACTGAAAACCCAGCCTAAGGAACAACTGCCAAGCACGTGGGCCTGATGGGCTTTGCCCACCACTCCAGCCTCAGTCTCCCCTGCTGCTCACCCTGTGTCCAGCCAGCCAGAACCGCTGCTCCCTCCCAGCTCCGGGCCCGGGTTCATGCTGCTTCCTCTCCCTGATAGGTTGTTAGCCCTGCCCTCATCAACTGCTTGAGAAGCTGGCTCATCCTTTCCGGGTTGGCTCAGAGACCACTTCCTCCAGCAGCCATCCCCTTCTCCCTGCTGCCGTGTGGCTCCCTCAGCTCCCGCGTGGCACCCTTCTGTTTCAGTTTTGATCACCAGGTAAGGACCTATTTCAGGGCCCACCTCCCCCCCATCAGACTAGAACATCTCCTGTCAATGTAACACACCCCTCCCTCCTCATTATACCACTAAAAGAAAGCTGACTTTTCTGGTCCCACCAGCGAAGTGCCCTTCCTAAGTCCCTTCCACTCTGGGCCACTGCCCCCCTCTATTCCAGAGCAGCCTTTGACGCTGACCATGTGAACAGCCCTCAAAATGCTGGCGACAGACTTTCCTCCCTATCCTTCTGTCTAAAGGATTTGAAATGAAGGGCTCTCTCAAACGTTCGAATCTGGCCAGCTGTCCATTCTCTCAAAGAAGGGTACAGAGTAATATCACAAGAATCCTACGGCCAAGGTGACCACTGGGATGCTCCCCGTTTCACCAGACTCCCCGTTCTCCCCGGCACTGCCAGTCCTGGCCTCATCCTCCTGGCCCAGCCCGTAACTACTGTCTCCTTATAGTGGATGAGCGGTGGGGAAATGGCAACCAGGGCCTGAGATGTGTTTTTGCCCTCTCTCCTTACGGTTGATGCCTTCACACTAGAATTTGTAATCATAATCATGATGTCCGGAAGACATGCCTTCCTCTTCGTGCCCCCTAAGCAAACACCCTATAACTGAATATGATCCATCATGAGCAAAATATACCAGGGACTCCTGTCTGAAACAATATCATAATCATAATTATTACTGCTATTATTAGTTATTATTTTATTGGGGCTTATTATGTGTCAAGCACCATTCTAACAATGTTGCATGCATCAACTAATTTATTTAATTCTTACCAAAACACTATAAGGTAGGTACAGTTATTAGACCCACCTTACAGATAAGAGAATGAGACACAGGAAGATTAAATAAGTTGCCCAAGGTCACGCGGCTGAGAAAGGGAGGACCTGGGAAGTGGAGCCAGAAACCCTGGCCCTTCTCGGAAGCACTTCGCATCACATTACTCTCTGGACCAGCTTAACAGCCCACTATCTCACCAGGAAGGGAAAGTGGCCAAGATGTGTGGTTGGAATAAGTGTATAGCAACGATTAATGATGACAAGAAACGGGAAATTAACCACAGAGGCTGTGAGACGGTCACCTAGGAAAGATGGCAGCACAAGAGAAATGTTTGCCAAGAGTCTGGGAACCAGAATCACAATTTACCAAATATAAATACAGCTCAAGAAAGGTCAGGACCGGGGTGCCTGGGTGGCTCAGTCGGTTAAGCGTCTGCCTTCGGCTCAGGTCATGGTCCCAGGTTCCTGGGATCAAGTCCCGCATCGGGCTCAGTAGGGAGCCTGCTTCTCCCTCTGCCTGCCGCTCCCCCTGCTTGTGCTCTCTGCCTCTGTCAAATAAATAAATAAAATTTAAAAGGTCAGGACCTCACCAAGGTCAAACAGACTAGCCCTGCGGACACCAACTGATGAAAGGATTATCTCAGGGAAGCCCAAGTCAGCATCTTGAAATTGTATTAAAGAGCTGAGGAAGGGGGCGCCTGGGTGTCTCAGTGGGTTAAGCATCTGCCTTCGGCTCAGGGCATGATCTCAGGTTCCTGGGATCCAGCCACGTTGGGTTCCCTGCTCAGTGGGGAATCTGCTTGTCCCTCTCCCTCCGCTCCTCCCCCACTCATGCTTGCTTGCTTGCTCTCTCTCAAATAAATACAATCTTTAAAAAAAAAAAAAAAAAGCTGAGGAAGGAGATGCATAAGGATTTTCACCCCAGCACTCTGTATTGTGGCAGGAAGGGGCAGACGATCTAGGAGCCTCAGCACTGGGGGAACTGATAAGTCAAGTAAGTAAAACGTGGGAGAGGCATCTATGGAAACCTGCACAGCACTTAGAAACCATGTTCTAGATATACTCACAGGAGCATCGATAACATCCCCAAACATGGTACTGAGGGGAAAATAAAGAAGCAAAATGAACTCTAGGCAGAATACCATTTATGTAAATTAAAAATGTATACATGCAGGGGCACCTGCCTGGCTCAGTCAGTACAGCGCGCGACTCTTGTTCTCAGGATTGTGAGTTCAAGCCCCATGTTGGGCGTGGAGCCTACTTAAAAAAGAAAGGAAAAAAAAGAAAATAGGGGTGTCTGGGGGGCTCAGTTGGTTGAGCGTCGGATTCTTGATTTTGGCTCAGGTCATGTGCTCAGGGTCACTCTCAGAGCGGAGTCTGCTTGAGATTCTCTCCCTCTCCCGCTCCCCACCTCGTGCATGTGCACATAGGAGGTCTCTCTCTCAATAAAAATTAAATTTAAAAAATCTTAATAAGGAGTGCCTGGGTGGCTCAGTCATTAGGCGTCTGCCTTCGGCTCAGGTCATGATC